GGAACACCTCAGTTTGCGCGGCAATAAACTGAATAATTTAGCTGATGAGTCCTTCCAGGTATAAAATATTCATAAAAACTGGTCCATATATTTACAGCAGTACTATATTCGTAGTAATATTAATGAAATTATTTGCAAGTAATTCACTTTTTAAGTTTTTAAACGAACACTATATTGCCCAGTCTGATCCGCTAGAGAAAGCTGAAAATTAGCTACTTTTACTTTTAATAAGATAATCTCGGAGTGTGTAACCTCTACGAACCCCTGTCTAGAAAATCGAAATAATCGARTTCTTCGAAATCGGTCAAAACTGCCTTAAGTAGTTTCGTTGCATCCATTTTTGGTTGCGTATCTGCTCCACATATCTAGATTGCTAGGCGTTTCCTTATTGAAAAATCTGCCYGACTGTTTATTAATGGGTACTATATTTAATAAAACAGAACTTACCCAAATTGGAAATTCTCGACATGGCTTTCAATAATTTACCGAATTTCAACTTCGACTATTTTGACCAAGTAAGTGACCCATCACTTTTGAAAAGATATACCCACATAAAAACGAATTGAATTAACTTCTAGGTGGGCACCTTATCCACTCTCAATGTAAATGTGAGCCATAATCAAATCAAAATGCTAATGTACAATAGTTCGTGGGCAGGGCGAGCTGATCACGGTAAGAATCTCAGTTCGGATTTTGAAAGCACTTTAATCACCAGCTTTGTCTCCAGGTTCAATGCACCATTCAAATATAAAGTTATTGGACTTGTCACACAACAACATATCTTTGATACATCCAGGCTACTTCCGGCCAGCGGAGATTTCATTGACCCACCTATACATGGGCTACAACTCACTGATGGTAAGTGTCTAAAAAACGTAAAAATGTTATTATAATCTTTTAAGCAAATCAACAGAATGCAACGCGAGATGTGTTCGGTAATATGCCGCATCTGCAATGGTTGGACCTGTCTTATAATAGTATACGCGAGCTGGATTTCGATGCGTTTAAGAATACCAAGCAGCTGCAGGTGCGTGGAATGAAACATATACATTTATTTTTAGAAACTAAATATTTTTCATATTTTAATTACTTAGTTAATATATCTGGATCACAATTACCTAACGGACATACCCCAGGACATCTTCAAACCCATTTACGCCTTGCGCGTTATCGATCTGTCACATAACCATTTACGAGGTTTGCCTGACAATCTTTTCTATAATGGCGGCATGGAAAAGTAAAAATATAATWCAATGCATTCAACTTATTCAGGAACGTTAACTGTATTTTTCATTTCCTAACAGAATGGACGTTTCGCACAATATGCTGCTCAAAATACCCTCATCATCGCTGTCCAGCTTGGCCGCTCTAACCCTTTGTGAGCTGCACTTATCCAATAACTTCATTTCAACTATACACAGCATGGACTTATCCAATAAGTTCAGGGTTTGTATAACTTATGGGAGATACGACATACCTGGTAGTCGTGATGAATTTGTTTAATGTATTCTAATAATTTTATAGTCTCTGCGCTTCCTGGACATATCTTACAATTACTTGCTGCGGATAGACGACGCAGTTTTCGCCACAATGCCTCGACTCGCTGCACTTGACCTCTCACACAACCGTGATCTCAAAGTGATGGACAAGTCGTTTATGGGTTTGGAGAATTCACTCATTAAACTAGGAATGGAGAATGTTTCTTTGAGCACTATTCCCGAGATACGCTTAAAGTACTTGCGTGAATTGCGACTGGGTTATAACGAATTGCCGTCGATCCCGCAAGAGTTGGCCTTCAACATGAGTAATTTGCGCATGTTAGATTTGTCCAATAATGACTTGACTAATGTACCGCTAATGACACAATCACTGCCACATTTAAGGTTTGTCTTAGACGTCCTATAGTCCGTTACACTGTACTTTTACTATTGCTTTTTGATTTAACGTTCACAGGAAATTGATGCTCTCGGGCAATCCRATCACCTCGCTTAATAATAATAGTTTCGATGGTGTCAATGAGGATTTGGAGATGTTGGACATCTCCAATTTTCGTTTGCACTACTTCGAATATGGTTGTTTAGACTCATTGCCACATCTGCGCTCGCTCAAACTTACCGCATACTCGCATTTGGAGCATTTCAATATACCTCATTTGTTGCGACACCATCATAATGTACGTGAACTTTGGATTGAAGCGCCGCAACCGTTCACTCGAATCATAAAGAAGGGCTCGGGACCGAATCAGGACATTCAGCAGGTACAGATGGGTCAACCCACTGATTTGGCGCGCGAAATGGAGGGTCATCTACCATCGAAGTTGACGAATATAACTTTCAGTGGTCCGCAGTTTAGTAGCCTCAATGAACGCATTTTGAAGGTTAGTTCTGAGTATTCTTAAAGATGATTTTTATATAAAAACGACCCTTTRGGGTACTGGCGTATATAACATTTATATTTTGTTTTTTATAATACATTTTGCTATCTAAGCATCTGAACTCTTCGTTCCAAGTGGTATCGCTCTTTTAATGCATCATCTTGCYGAAGTTGACACTCATCACGATTTAYTATCTTTTTCTCCTTTTCAGGGCATGAGGTCGCCATACATATATATTCAACTATTTAACACTACACTGAAGGAGATACCGACCAATTTCTTCAAACATATGGGACGGGTCCGTAATATATCGTTGGATATACGCTACAACAATCGTATGTTGAAAAAGGTACCAAATCCCAATACAGGGAATGTACCTTTTCTGCCGAACAGCGTTTTTCTCACCGAACTTAAAATGTCCGATTCCGATTTGAACTGCGATTGTGATTTGGGGTTCGTAGCCACAATCTGTTAACAGAAAGTACATATGCAAATTTTATGGCTTTCAATAATTTTTTCGTTTATATTCTGCGTTTCAGTTGGGTAGAGTTTTGGCAGCGCAAACGAAGGCAGTACATTTGCTCGTCACAAACCTGGACTGACGCTGTGTTCAGAACATTTATGAATTCACCTTGCCAAGTGTATGGGCGACACAATTGCGACGACCACGATGATGATCTACGCGAGACCCGATGTGATAACAAAGGCGGACAGCAGTTGATGGAAGTAAGAATTTAATATCTTAATGCCATTAAAAAGGCAATGACTGAAAGCAGTTTTTGTGGATGCGAATGCTGAGGTTTATTAGCTTTTCTATTAACCATAATACCACACCTGTATAGTGCCCAAACAGTAAGAAGTTTCATTGAAATGTGTTATCCGATGTWCGATATAGGGACGCTAGCTGGGAGRTTGTTGACGGATTAATCTTATCTTTAATAAGTGTATCTTTAAATATTTYTTGCGATCGTAGAATATTAGTCACAACGGTATTCATATAATTCGACTTTATAAATTTTGTTCTAACTATCTTTAGCCTCAATGTATTTCTGTAGCGGTTTGCAAATTCCAAGAATCAAAGCTGGGGAAATACCTTCAGGTGTTGCTATAACTTAATATTGGAAAAATGTTGCTCAAATTGCTAATCGGTTAGTCATGACCCYGGCCATTGTCCACGTTTGACACCCGGGGTAATTATTCTGAGTGTGAAATTTCATGTGTTTGGCTTCTTTAATTATTGATTTATCGAACTTAGGGTGTGGTTATCGATTCCACCTTTAACGGACTGTCGGACAGACAGATAGTCACCCGGATTTAAACTCGGCTCGTCATCCTGATCATATATRTATATAGTTTTAGGTGATAGGCACAACCGTTAGGCGAACAAAAATATTATACTTTGGAGCAACATGTTGCAAGGGTATAAAATGTTCTTGAGATACTTCTTGTGACCATTTTCGAAGCTTTGTACTTCATTTCAGGTCACCCACCATCTAACACAAATAATACTGTACTTTCTTTCCAAAAAAAACTAAACTGAAAAAAAAACGATCTGATGTAGATCGATATGACCGTAAGAAGAACTGTTAGGAGAATAAAACTACAGTGCTATAAAATTTGGGTTCGTCGGAACACGTATTAATTGACAACAAAACTCGTAAAGAAAAGCTTTTGGTTAATATTAACTTACGGTTCAAATATAATAGGATGGTTTAATCTTGCACTGGTAGAATCAAGATAACTCAAAATAATAGCGGGTTTTTTTTAATATCTATAATTAATTTTTCTATCCTCAGGCCCTGAAATTCGATTTGGAATGTGGATGGGATAATGCAGGTTGTCGTGAAACGTTCATTCTGCTAATCACAGCCTTACTAATGATCGTTTTCTGGATGTGACTGTTGAGATGCGCATTCAAAGTGTCGGCAGATTTTTACAAAACCTTAGAGAAGGTATACGGAGACAATCCGCTTTAAAGAGCAGTAAAGATATATCAAAGTAAAAAGAGGTGAAGCGAAAAGAGGATGGAACGAATAGAGAACAAGTGTGCTACCCGATGAAACCCAAAATAAAGTACAATTCCCGGACCTCAGCTGAAATTGGATTCGTAGCGTTTTTGTAGTTTAACCGATAATTGAATGTGCTGGATSAACTTAAAAAATTATAATTATTATGAGCATATTTTTGTTTCACCAAAGTTGCGATAATGGAAATTAAAAGCACTTAAACACAAGTAATGCACTCATATATGTACATGTACAAGTATAGTATTATTGAATCGAAATTTATTCCCAGCTCTAATGGAAATAAGTTTTCTAATTTGTTTTTAAAGTACCTAAGCTTYCCTGTTTTTATGGCTTCAGTTAATGCTATTGCTTAAATAATTTTAAAATCATTATTTCTAAATGTTTTCGTATTTAAAATAAATATTTAAACAGAACTTTATTGTTTTTTTCTTTTTGTTCGTGATAAATTTCATGAACGTATATTACAAAAAAAAAAAAAAAAAAAAAGTTAACAATAAGTTAAACAACTTGAGAAGAGCTGAACTGAGTTGATTTTGGATGTTACAAACCACTATTAGTTGAGCTAAAAGTTTTGTGAATATGAAAATAAACGCGATAAGTTAAGTAGTTTTAAAGCAAAAGAAGTCTATATTAAAGGATACGAATTCCGTTTGTAAATGCAATAATCGATTTCAGTCATCAGACCGAAAGCTTTGGCAGTCTGATACATACAGGCTAGTTAAAGGAGTTCGTAACAATTTCTTCCATCTCTCGCTTATGCACTTTGCCAATGCCAGTTGCTGTGGTAGCTGCTTCAGACCGGCCAACGTATTTTAGCTGGGAAAAAGTTARTCAGTAATTGTAGTTGGAAATTCGTTATGGCAAATACGTATATATCGTAAATGCATGCACGTATGTATGTACCTGTTTGCCGATCAAGCACTCAAAACGTGGGCGTACAAAACTCCAAGCGCCCATATTGCGGTGCTCTTCCTGACTCCAAAGAAARGCTGTACACATGAAAATAGAACATAGTAAGTAGTTGAGTGGAGCTACATGTCGGTTGTTTGATGGAAGTTTACGTACTCTTTGCCTGTGTGTATTTAGCTATCTCTTGTTGCAGTTCATAGGCTGGAAAGGGGCATAATGACTCAAGCCGTATGAGGGCCGTATCGGTGATGCCTCTCTTTTGGCGCTCTTCATCTAGCACAAAGAAATGTTTGCCCGAACAGACTATGACTTTACGAACTTGGTCAGCAACAACAGTTGGGTCACCTGAGAAATACAATTCAAAAGCGAAAATGTAGTGCTACATTGTTGTCTAGTGAGTTATCTGAACTCCACTCAAATAAATATTTATTATGATCTAGTATATTGTTAATTAAGTTTCCTAATTAATTTTAAAATCCCACAAGCAAGAATAGCTCACCCAGCACATTGTGGAAATGTGTGCCCGGCTGGAAGTCAACATATGTGGATGTGGCAGCCGGATGACGTAACATTATTTTCGGGGCGACCACAACGAGAGGTTTGCGGAAATTGCGCAGCAATTGGCGGCGCAACAGATGGAAATACTGAGCCGAAGTGGTGGGATTAACAACGTTCACATTKACATTGTCACCATCGGGTGCGGTTTCTTTGGAGTCACACAACTGCAGAAAGCGTTCAATGCGACAGGAACTATGCTCGGATGCAGCGCCATCGTAGCCATGTGGCAGCAACATCACCAAGCCATTTGAGTCCATCCACTTGGCTATAAAGTTACAACGTGCATAACAAGAACTGYTAGGCATACATTTATTATRTARTYAATGTAAACTTACTCTCGCCTGTTATTATGTAATTGTCGATTATTATTTGTGCACCGTTCGCGAAATCGCCGAATTGAGCTTCCCAAATAATTAACTTTTGCGGATCGTCTATGGCCATTCCGTACTCATAGCCCAACACAGCCTCCTCGGAAAGTATGCTGTGTGCAATTTCTAGTTTGCCGCCGTTCCCACCTTTCAGGCTATTCAATGGTATGAACATTTCATTGGTCTTTTGATCGACCAGCATGACATGGCGATGAGAGAAGGTTCCACGTCCCACATCCTCCCCGCTAATGCGTACATGATGGCCTTGATACATAAGACTGCCGATCGCCAAGGCTTCCGCTGTGGACCAATCGATCTTTTCGCCGYTATCCAATTTCTTTCGTCGGCCCTCAATATGGGTTTTCAACAGATGCGGATGAACGTTCTAAAACACGACATTATAAGTAGTTTAGTAGGCTTTCATTATTTGAATAAAAAACTTACGAAATCTTCTGGGTGAAAAACACTCTGGTGGCCAATATAGTTAAGTAGTTGATAGTCAAGACCTGTGTCCCAGATGGTGAGTTTATCTGATGCACTTGTTAAACCGGTCCATTGCTTCCTAAAGTAATTTGCCTCGGGCTTATAACTTTCTGATATAGCCAATTCGGAATCTAAATAATTCCAGTAATCAGAACGCATYGATTTTGCCTGTTCGGAGTTGAGCACTCCATCCTCTATTAATTTCTCCACATACAAATCAGGTACGGATCTATGATATGGAACGGAATAATTCTTAGTAGATTTATTGTGTTAACATTTTGAATACTTTTAACAAACCGACTTGCGATTGTGTATGATTTGGTAAACTTGTGGATTCGTAAAAGTTGGATCGTCCATTTCATTATGTCCCCAACGACGAAAGCAATTCATATCAATGAATATATCTTTGCGGAATTCTCTTTGATATTCTATTGCCAATTGCGTTACTAAGGCGACTATTTCGGGATTGTCACCATTCACATGYAAAACGGGAGCTTGAATGGTTTTGGCCAAATCCGAAGCGTAGTCGGTGGATCGACCTCGGTCACCGGGTGTTGTAAAGCCAATCTGATTGTTCACAATCAGATGTATGCTGCCACCCACCTCAAAGTGTGGTACGTAGGCCATATTTAGACATTCCTGATTAACACCTTGACCAGCAAATGCGGCGTCACCATGAATGAGAACATTGAGTACTGTAGTACCAAAGGGTTTCGAGTGATCATCACTGAATGCACCATCACGRGTGCTTTGTTGTTTTGAGCGGGTTTTGCCCATGGCCACAGGATTTGCTGCCTAATGGGGGATGTGAGGRAGAAAAATTGAAAAGCTTTCTAGGATAAAATTAGACGATATTCACTCACTTCCAAATGCGATGGGTTTCTTATTAAACTCATATGTATCTTCTTTCCTTCCACGTCCAGGTCCTCGGAAGTATCTAGGTATGAAAATAGTACAACAATAGAGTTAAGGTTAAAATAATTTATGGATTTGATTTATTCAAAACATTAACTCAAAAAGCGACGTACGGAAATGACTTAAAGTATCAGACATAGCCGGTGCATCATCCGGAAACTCCGAYTCGCCGCTGAGCTTGTGGAAAATTTTTGCTGGTCGCATATTCAACATCGTCGTTTGGAGAGGCATACGTCCACGATGCGGCATTGCCACAACAATATCCCCAATGCCATCTAATGGTAAAAATAAAGGTGAGTAAAGGTTAACATATATCTGAGTCGGTGGAAACAATTTTGTTCTAATTTTAACATACTTTGTGCAGCGGTACGCAACAATTGCCAATAGAAGGCCAGTAGACTTTCGGCACCTTCTCCGCCATAGCGTTTAACACTTGCAAATCGAATCGCCATAAAATTGTCCCACGTTTGCGATTTTACCAGAAGTTCGGCAATCTGACGACGCGCWTCCCCTGAGAAGCTGAAACCCGGCTGCTGCTGCTGATATCCAAAAGAGAGTTGTTCAAAATGTCTCGATAGCCATTCGCGCTCCTCCAGGTTCTATTGCAATTAGCATTAATTAGAAAAGATTGTTAAACCATGGGCAAAGGGTCGAGGAGAGTTTGGAATAGACAACTAGTGCATAAGCGAGGATCAGCCGCAAAATATTACCTCAATGTAGTCGAATTCCGCACTGAGCGATCTGCCACAGTAAATGTTCTTCAACAACGTTGCCAATTCTATTACGGTTGCAGGGTTCCCTGTGCCCAATTGAGGTAAGTTTATTAAACCCTGCGAYTGTACGGAATTATCTAGAGCAAGCCCGTAAAACTCAGGGTTCAGTTCATCGATGGTGATGCTGTGGATGTGRCGTATTATTTATTTAAATGTTTATGTTCCAGGTTAATGAAGAATGTCATGTCAAATGAGGATTATATGGATGTATAGGTTTTTGTACTGTGTACCTATGTATATAATGGATAAGAGAAAGTGTGTATGTTCGAGTACTTATGATAACAACCTTTGCTGGTCTCTGATGCTGATAGGGTTRATAGCGGCCAGTTTGTGGCCATGCTTGCGATAGGCCTCGATCCAACGATAAACATTGCCTTGGGCATTCCTCGACTGCAGCACTTCGTTAGGCACTATGGATGAAAAGATTGACATTGATATGTAATCAAGGTTTAAATTATTATTTTGGTTTTAAATTGTTAGGAATGTATTAAGTTATATTTAAATTTTTGTTAATTATGTTCACAAGTCAATCTTAGCTGATTCTTCTATAAACAATTTACTGCTTATACTTGACTGCATTCATGTCTATCGAAAGTCCGAGTTAGAAAGAAGTATCTCTTTATTTAGCTATCAATGTGAGACCACAACATTCAATAAAATTCTCTTTTCTAAGATGTAAATCCATATTTCGTGTTAGGAGTACGAACTGAGTTAGTTACAGATACGTTACTTTTTRCTAATAGTTTTCTATAGACACATCCGTATTGAATGGTTTCATAAAAGTGTAATTCAATTTTTTTTATCTACATGGATTATGTTGCATGACGTTTAATTGAAAAATGCCCTTAAATTTCGTCGATACCATTGATTTTGAAAAATGCTGAGTTTAGTTTTGGGAGGATATGCAGCGTTMTTAATTTAAGAGAAGAGTAAAGCGAGCGCTGGATAATCTTATCAAACTTAAAAGAATATTAAAGAGAACTCACATAAATTGTGTATTCGAGTTTGATAAGCAAATAAATACAACACAACAAAAATGCGTGGGGTCTTGATACCATAACAAAATATATACTGGCTTTCACAGATTCTTAGATTTTGCGAATGAGTGAAAAAAGAACTTCAACTGTTTGCGCACAAAAYATAGATTTATATACAAATGTATATCTGCTGAACCACATCTATTAATACACAGTGTGATTAGCTTATCAATCATGTAGAGATTTTATCACATGAATAACCGCATGAGCTGATTACTTGCGCGGACTAAAAGAATAGGAACTATATACATATATTGTGCCAAATTTATGGTAAATATTTAATGTATTTTCTTGTTTGATCATTTTAGTTATTGGTTGGCTTGTAAATACCTCGAAAGACGCGTTTAGGCAAGGGCCTGTAACCATAGACACCGTTCTCACTTTGGTAGCCTCTGCGATGTACCTGCTGAAGGAGTAACGTTTGGGTATGGCGCGCAGCTGTAATTTGACGCAACATTTTCACTTTACTATTATTTAATTTTAATTTTACTGTTTAAAAAATATTAGAAATACTAATATACATATTTCATGAGCGATCTTCAGCTCAGATGATTCAATACTGATATGAGATGCGTGTCTACTATTTGGTAAAGCGTCTCCATTATCAGCGGACTATTTTCTTTTCTCATTGAATGCTTCGAAGTTCTCAGTTTGGAATGAGCGTTAAGAAGTGAGCACCGCCCGTCACTGAGTATAAGAGATTGTCCAAAGAGAATTCCAAACAGTTTTGAGATCATATTTAGATTTATGCTTCACGAAAGAACTCAATCAACAAGTGCTCTTGAGCATTMTTGCCCTCTTAATAAACTGCTAAATAAAATAAATAATTTTCAGGTCTGAGAGTTGGCTGTAGAAAAAATCATTCCGAAAAGTTTCAGAGAAGGCAACATCCTAATTCTAAGAAAATGTCTCCGGAACTTTTTGGAAGTAAATAAACTTTGCATTCTCAGTTTGTATGACAGCTAMAAATATACTATAGTGATACGATCTAAAAAAATTATTTGGGGTAGCGCTTTTTTTTTTGTAGCGCTACTTTGGAGTCCAAACGAACGCCCAGTGCTAATGTGTACAATTTGTTGCGTGGTGAAATTCATTTCAGAGTGGTTCACCWACGCAGGTTGAGTGATGCCAAACACTAATTTTCTAATGTACTCTAATGCAGCTCTTGGTACTGAAATGTGTCAAGGAGTACTGTTGGGATCAGTTTTATAATATTAGTAAGTAATAACAATAAAGAATTTTTTGAGTATCGCGAAGAAGTGTGAGCGTGTGTTTGCTTATAACGGGGCTTTTAAAACGGGCGTTACAAAAGTACATGAATATGGACAGCAAACAACGGCATATTTTTCTCRCTTGCATATTTCTTTTCAATCAGGTTTGCCACGGAAAGATATACGGTCTCAAAATTATTAAAATCTTTAGTCAGTGACCTCAACATTAAGAGTGCTACGTCTAATTTATGATCGTCATAATGATCCTGTCAGATCACCAATTGAGCGTCTAGKGGAAAAATGTGAATCCACCGGCACAGTAAATCATCAATTGAGGAAGACCCAAATAAGTCTCTTACACGTCGTTCTAAAGTGCTGGGCATCTCTGTGACGTCATTGTGGCGAATTTTGCGAAAAGATCTTGGCCTACATTCTTATAAGATCAAATTGACCCAAGAACTGAATACGCTTGACCTCCAGAATGCTCGGATGTTCGTGAAATGGGTTGAGCAACAACTTGAAAATGATCCGAATTTTCATCGAAAAATCATCATTAGCGATTAGGCKGCTTTCTGGCTGAATGGCTTCGTCAATAAGCAAAATAGCGCGTTATTGGTCAGGCAGCAATCCACACGTACTCCATGACTCTCAACGCATTCCGAAAAAATTACGGTTTGGTGCGGTTTATGGGCCGGCGGCGTCACAAGTCACATAGCGAATGTCACAAGCGATTTATTGAAAGCCAAGTTTGGTTGAAGGTGTTATCTTACGAAATGATCCAGTAATAGTACCGTTAGACTATTACCGGCCCGCTTGCGGARGTCTAGATGCTGAACCCATATTCAAGTATAAATTGGCCGATTGGCTGCTGCAATTCCACGTTCGATATTCGTAAGAAGGTCATCAATTGTCGTTGACTAATTGGCATAGACTATAAATGGAGGCTACGTTACGTGGTGGCTATACAATAAATCCAGTTTCACACATAATGAYATCGAATGTACATTAATAAAAAAATTTATTGATATCTTAAAACGTTTTTGTTTTATTTTAAAAAAGCAAAACCATTTTAATCCCGTTATACATTGTTCATCGTTCTTCATTCACGGAATCATATGCCCTTTATGCTTRTACAATTATCGAAATATGAATGAATACAAGTTTATTTACATTTGCACAAGTTCCTAGAAYGCCGATTCAGTCATCGGCCGAATGTATGGTCCATATTTAGATATGTACTGTGTGTATTTTGGTAGGGTCCAGAAAACTAGCAGGTTAATGGCGCGTAGCCATAAGCGGAAAGTATTGCGCTTGAAAATGGTAATGAATCACTGAAGAATGCAACAAAAATGTTGGCAAAATTTGATTAGATAGCGGTGTTTGTAATACGTAGRCTCGCAATTCCTCTCGAAGTTCATACAAGTGTTTATACACACGAAAAGTTCGGATAGGACAAAGGTGTTTCAAATATTCCATATWCCTTGTATGACCAGAAACGTAATAGTTTACTGAATTTGTTGTTGCAGACAAGCTTAATGTTCACATTGGCCTATTTTTYCGATTTATSTCCAATTTTGTAGCGTTTAACAGTATTCGTGGCCGCTAATGTGATATGAGTTGCATATTAGGGCTTCTCAGCACCAACCGATAAGATAAGATTTTAACACATTCTTATAAGCACACATACACTCGCACCATGGCCTGTCCATGGCAGGTGTTTGCRTGTGTTGGAGGTTCAGACGAACAGGTGAATACGGGCTCCTAACCGAGGCACGACAACGCCCCAACTTCAGTCTGAAATTTTCGTGGAGTCGTGTTGTACGTGTTTTTCGAAAAGGTGCGTAAATCCTGTGCAGTGTTGGAAATAAAAAAAATTGTTCTGCTGTGAAAGTGTTGTTGTTGCATAAACGTGCTGATAAGCCAGAATTGCGCCTGATAAGGCTTTTAAAAATAGCTGGTTAACGGCAAYAGTTAAGCTTAGTGGCCAATACAGGCGGTGATGATCTCATAGTGAAGTGCATAAGGGGAAATGYGATTTTTGGTTATATCGTTTAATTTTATTTTCTTCCTCTCTTTAGTGAAAACACACAAAAACGGCTGCACTCAACGAAAGTGSTTTTAAACGAAAAATAATTGTTAACGAACAAATTAAACGAATATTTATTAAAGTGAAAAACTCACACGCACACACATACAAACAATGCGTTTCAAAATCCTGCTAGCATTCGTGCTATCCTGTGTCTTGTCGACTTCAGTCATTGCAAACGAGAATTATTCTTCGGAGCTTGACACCGAAGCCCAGGCGATCGACCCCAAATTCAAGGTGTCAAATGATGCCGAGCTCGTTGAAATGATACCGGAGATCGTGCAGGAACAAGCGAAACCAACGACTATGACCTCCCCAAAGCCAACAACAAAGACCACAACACAAACGACAAARCCCTCGAGACCGATTTCTCCACGCCCTAACAATGGTGTAACACCCAGAAATCAAACAAAAAGCTTCCTAGAAACGGCCGGGGCCTTGAAGGTTAGCGAGGATTTCTATCTCGGCGAGTTGGGCTTCGATATAAGCTACGACAACGGATATGACTGGTGTAAGTTTGATATTGCGATTAACAAAATAATCCTAYATGTGTATATGTATGTATGGCATAGCATATTCGAATTATATTAAAAAGCGTAAAAATGTCTTCAAATTCACTTGAAATGAGTCAGAGCTTACTCACCGCCGCTGTAAARGGCTTACACTAGCGGCTGCGACTATTAGCACAGCATGTCATATTTTATCGCAATTTATTCATTTATGTATTCATATATGTTACATATCTATCGACGTGTGTATATTCTTCAGTATGTTTGTGCACCTTGCGTTGCCCAGGTATATGTTTAACAAGTCCGGCGTTATCTTATCGTCACATTCGTGTTGGCAATATTTACTCACTATTGCTTGCCCAACAATCGACGCGAAGTTGCCTAACGGTGAAACAAACATACATATTTATCCACGTATGAAGACACCGTTTTCTTCGTATTATTTACCGTTAGTATTCATCACGATAAGATAAACAAACTTAGTCGAAAATAATGCCAAAGCTTTGTATTTATTTTATAATCAGCGATTCGTCATAGAGACATTTATAGGMACGAAAGTCGTGGTTCAATAGAAAAATGTGGGCACTACATCAATTTGWGTGCATCCAAGCTTGTTAATATTTTGTATTTTTTGATACAAATTGGTTAAGGGATTGTTTGTAGCGAAATATTAATACTTATGTAGGCATTTCGAGTTGGGACGGTGTTGGAATAAGAGTTCTTCATAAAAAGGAGGTTTTGGAAAACAAATTGATTTTTCTGAACTTTCCATTATTTAAGATATTTATAATGTATAATACCTAATTTTCCAACTTTCCTTTTGAGTGATATAGAGAAACTAGAATTATACTGCCTTTATCTTTCAATGCTTTCCATCTCTATTACAAAAAACAATTTTAACTGCGCCGGCCTAGACGAATAAGTTGTTATCCTCACAGTTTTTGGTCGAATATGTAGTTTCGTGATCGGCCAATACCCGAAGAAGCGTGTAATACTTTACATATTTTTAGAAAGAGCTGTGCTTTTTACACCCTGTGTTTATGTCTTGTCTATGAAATATCTAAAATAAGTTCTTGGTAACTGTGAAATATTACCGTTGCGATAACGCGTATTAACARGAAATTTTAAGATTTTTGATTGAGTGTGCTAATTATTGTGTAAAGTTGTAATTTTGCTTCTGCGATAATGACTAAATGGCCTTAATAAATAAATGTATTATTATATTCGTTGATAACTAATGTTGTCTATCTAACGGTTAGTAAATGATAATCTAGAGAACAATGATACAAAATATTTAAAACTGATCACTTTGCCTGGGAATATCTTTGGTGGTACAATTTTTCCTTAATATACCCTATTTTTCATGAAAATGCCACTGAACCTATTTCTATTAATACTAAACTATTGTATTAGTGGGTTCTGTTTGGATTATTGATGTTAAAATATAAAAGTTGATATTCATATGAAAGATTGCAAATACTTAATATGTGTTCTTCCGTTTTTTTAAATTGATATTTTACTAAAAAGCTTACATTATTTGAATTGCAGCTAATCCCAATAATCCTGTGGCTCCACCAGTTATACCATCCCACGCTGCTGGCGGTTACGTCATTACCTCGCAGCGCTTACAGGAGATTCGTTCGAATCTAATGTACTGGTACTTTGACAAGGACACGAATGGCGGGCGCGGTGATTATCAGTATGACATACATGCCTCCATGACACAGTTGCATAAA